TTCTGCCAGAGCATCCAGTTCATCTTGAATAGCTTTCTTCCAACAATCAGATTTAATTGCTTCTGAATATGACTTTGGTATGGCAATAGAAGACAAAGTAGCAACCATGGATGTATGAGATTTATTTTTTCTTTCTGGAGAGAAACCGTACATGTCTGGGGCTCTGATGGCTCGAGCGAGCAGATCTTCTAAGTGGTGGAGGTGCAATGTCAGGCTCAGGTGGCAGAGGGGACCCAGGCGAAGCTTCAAGTGCCATTACTGTTGATGGAGTATCAGATTGTTGTTGAATTTGTCTATGAACAGGTCTTCTAGTATACACAATCCCAGGATGAAATCGGGTTATTGGAAGAGAAGAATTGGAAGGTGAGTCATTGAAGTTGTCTTCAAAAGATGGAAGCAGTGTATAAGAAGAGGTATTGGATGAGCCTGCAAAGGAAGAGTAAAATTTTTTGGTATCGAAAAAAATGACATTACGAGAAATACGAATCCGTTGGGTGGTTGGATCAAAACACTGAAAACCCTTTTGATTTGGTGCGTAGCCAATGGTGCGTACATAGCAAAACAAGAAAGACACATTCTTATTGATTTGGGGGGAAAGCTTGGAGTTCGTTCGTTGAGGTGGTTAGAAGGACAAAACATTACACAGAAGGACAAAACATACACATCCAAAAGGATGTAAATGTTTATAATTTGGTATGGTTTTATGAAGCAAAAAATATGGTGTTTGATTATTGAGAGTCTGTGAGGGAATGTAACATCACTTCCCGGTCCACCCGTTAACCCGAATGAACCGAGCCGAGACGCTACAATCTGGTTGAACTCATGTCCTGTCATGTTGATATCATCCTGTATGCTAACTATGAATACAAAATATTCCTAATTAAACTCCAAACTTTCAATATCTCCAACTAATCATCATAACACAATAACACTTTATATATATATAGTCATAACTGTATCAATCCTCAATAGCATGTAATACGCCAATGCTACATAGGCCAACTCAGATTAAGTGCATTCATGATCTATATCAATGTCTCAGAGTATATGCCCTAATCATACCAACTATAGGTAAAATATTTCATCTTCTCAATCATTTTCCATTAATATTAATTCTTATCTCCACACTACTTATTTACCAAAATAATTACCATGGCTTTCACTTATATTTACAAATCACATAGCTCTAACAAATGCTAATAATTATACATGCCATAAATCTTAATACATGCCATAATTCTTAATTATTTATAAACTCTAACTACTACTCCCAAATTAATCACTTCGCTTTGATAGTACTCTTCAAGTCTTCAAGTAGCAACACTCGATCTTCAACCTAACGCCGTGATAAAAATCGATCGCGCGAGTATAAAACTCAGTGGGTGCTCATAATTCACATACTTTAAACAAAGTGTTGATTGGCAACTAACTTAAAAATTAAAAAGTTCATAAAAGCATTGAAAATCATATGATTCAGTAAAATTTCAACATTCAATGCAATCCTTTTTTAGCAAGGGGAATAAACCTTCTAATTTCACACCCATAAATAATTTAGTTCTAATTAATCTCATTAAACTCCCTTTACATGAACCTCTTAAATCACACATTATGATACTATCATGCATCTTTACCTGCTCGGTTCATTGTGTTGTATTGGAAGAAATCAATAAACATGGTAAGGAATACATAACAGTATATTGTTCATTGGTCTTACCTTTACTATTTCATTATGGCATATGACTTATGCACTTTTTTTTAGTCACATCATTATAAGTTGTGATCACTGGTCTATGTTTCACTAGCCCGGCTCCCCCACTGGTGCTCGGGTTATCACACGCGCCCTCTCAGGGCCCAGGCTGGTTCGTTCCTGCTCGTGTCACCTCATATAAACTCGTGGTACACCATGCAGGGGATGATTAATAAAAACATCT